GGCCGCAGCGCCACCGTGCGGCCCGGGGAGGCATCGCAGCAACGACAGAGGCGTGTTCTTGATTGATTTGTCCCTGAGAGCTCACTGTCTCCTAGGACCAATTAATTTCGGGGAATACTTTGGAGTGGCTCCTATATGCTAGGTCGTGGGAGTACCAGATTTTCCGGTTCATTGTTCCCCTCCCTAGGGACGTAAGAGAGGAATCAATAGGAAGTTTCCAGGCATCAAGTATTTCTGTCATTTTGACTTTATCAAAGTTGTTTTCATTTTCTACAAAGTATATTAGATATATCAATAACATTACAATATTTATAAATTGAAATTTAAAACTTAATGAAAACTAGTTATTGAAATGTTATTTCCGTACACTAATGTAAGTTAAAATCTAAATAACTGTAAGAAATCTTTTGTGAATAAAAAGCCAGTCTCAGACATAAAAAAAAGAAATTCTACACAAAACTATATGGAATTTTAAGAAAAAGCAAAGAGATTAAAATAGCTAAAGAAAATATAAATACAGAGGCTTGCATTTGAGATTCAACATATGACTAATAAACCTGAGGAAGCCTCTCATTTCGTGCCTAGCTCAGCCATGTCTCGTGGTCCCAAGAAGCACCTGCAGCGTGTAGCAGCTCCAAAGCACTGGATGCTGGATAAACTCACTGGTGTGTTTGCTCCTCTTCCATCTACTGGTCCCCACAAGCTGAGGGAATGTCTCCCCCTCATCATTTTCCTAAGGAAGAGACTTAAGTATGCCCTAATGGGTGAAGAAGTAAAGAAAATTTGCATGCAGAGTTTCACTGAGATTGATGGCAAGGTTCACACTGATATAACCTACCCTGCTGGCTTTACGGAAGTCAGTCTTGCTGACAAGACTGGAAAGAATGTCCATCTGATCCATGACATCAAAGGTTGCTTTGCTGTCCATCATATTACACCTGAGGAGGCCAAGTACAAGTTGTGCAAAGTGAGAAAGATCTTTGTGGGCACAAAAGGAATCCCTCATCTGGCGACGCATGATGCCCTCACCATCCGCTACCCTGATCCCCTCATCAAGGTGAATGACACCATTCAGATTGATTTAGAGACTGGCAAGATGACTGATTTCAACAAACTTGACACTGGTAACCTCTGCCTGGTGATTGCAGATGCTAACCCGGGGAGAACTGGTGTGATCACCAACAGAGACAGACATCCTGGTTCTTTTGATATAGTTCATGTGAAAGATGACAATGGCAACAGCTTTGCCACCCGGCTCTCCAACATGTTCATTACTGGCAAAGACAACAAACCATGGATCTCTCTTCCCTGTGGAAAAGGTATTTGCCTTACCATTGCTGAAGAGAGAGACAAGAGACTGGCAGCCAGACAGAGCAGTGGATAAAATGATCCCTAGGTGACAGGACTGGAAAAAGTCTTTGTACTTTAAAGTTAATACTGAATAACTTAAAAAAAAAACCTGAGGAAGGAAACAAAGCTATTGGAACAGAAAAAAATGCAACAATGTTTTGTTGGAACCAAGAAAAATGTGAACCTACAGATTAAAGTCGTTTACTGAGTTCCAGAAATGATTGATCCATAGATACATAGATACAGATAGATAGACAGATAGACAGACAGACAGACAGATAAAATGCCTGAAACAGATCAAAGTAAAATAATTTTCTCTGGGCAAAAAAAAAAACTATATTTAGGCAGACTGCAGAGTAAAAAATTCAAATAGCTTGCAGATTTCCTCAGCAACTCATATGCCAGAAGAAAACAACACCTGCAGACGTTTAAAAAGGACGATATGAAGACCAGAAAATTCTATAAACTGTGATGGCAACAGGAAGATGTCTTCAAATCTGCAATGACTCTGGAAGTCTCTCTCTCTCATAGAAATTCTGCTGAGGGATGTGGAGCCGTCCCAGCCTAAGGTGGAGATGCCAGAGGCCACGGGCAGACACTATTTGCAGACAGCCTGTCACGTGAGCTGCACAGCTTAAATCTCAATACTTTTAAGAAAATCCACAAAAAATGAAATTGTTTTCTCTTATCACAGAGTCCTTCTATTCCAGGATAGATTACCCAGACTGGTCTCTTTGATGGTCTCCGGCAAATCGCCTTAATTAGAAAAACAAAATTCACTCCTCCTAGACTAGCACACTTTTTCCCACTTTTCCCCTCTCCCCACTTTCTTATATAATTCCTTCCCTCCCCCCACCTTTTTGGCTTTGTTCATTGATAAGAATCTGATGACTGTCTCCGTGGTGTGCTGGTGAGTTGGTTATACAACACACTGACGTTCTAAGTTATGCTTTGACATCCATTATCCCTCGCGGGAAGATACTAGAAGCCCTAACCCAGACAACTGTGAGATGAATCCAAAAAAAAAAAAAAAAATGACTCACAAACTGAGAGTCCTGGGAGAAAAAGCTTTGTGATGAACATTTCATTTGCTTCAATATTTAATTAACTGAAATAATCACAGCAACAAAATGACATGCAAATATAATTCTTGAAAGGAGCACTACAGAATGTAAAAATAAAAGCATTTAAAAAAATCACAATAGCTTAGAACAGGCACCCTAGGATGCATTCTAAAGTGTGCAGGAAGGGCATATAACTGTGGCAAAGCCAGTAAGAATTATTTTCCAAATAACTGGTAGAGGCTGGGGACCATGATTAATAAAGAAACACTGACTATATAGTAAAATATAATACAGGGCGGGGGGGGGCGAAGCTTAAAATAGACAAAAAAGAGTCGACAGAAGTAACACTAAATAAAGCTTTTGTAACAAAACCATAAATGGGATAGACTCAATTATATTACAAACATTAAAATTGATTAAAAAGACAAAATACCATTATATATTCAATAACTAATTCACACCTAGAACAACCCTATGCAAGTTCATTTAAGGATCTGAATGAAGTCAAAACACCAAATCAAACTTCAGGGGGAGACACTAAAGATACTGCATCAATTTCAGAAGGCAGGGATATCTACTAATGCCTGTTCTCCACAACACCCCCCCTTTTTCTAGAGGTACTAGCAAAAACAATTTGGCAAAAGAAAGAAAGAAAAACTGGAAAGTTTGGAAATTTGATGAGACTAAATGATTATTGTTTGCAGAATATTTGATTTCTTTTTCACTTAAAAATTCAACTAAGACTTATCAGCAAGAACTGTTTCCAGAAATGAAGACTGTCTGGAGCAGAGGAAGTGGGTGTCATGACAGAAAGGCGGGGATCAATAAGCCTGTAGAGAAACGTCCAGCCGAGGAAAGGAGGAAAGGAAGGTATAGATCAGGGTGAGGGCTGGAAGAGGTGACGGCGGGGCCAGAGGAAGAAGGAAAGGAGAAATCCACCCCCGTCCCTGCTCTACCTGACTGGATTCTGTGTGCGCCATCCCCTGCTGAGGAGGGTCCCTGCCCCACCCTGCCCCCCAAATCTCTGATCCCTTTGTTGTCCCTCTGTTCCCAGGAGACCACAGCCCTGAGCTAGTCCGAGTTCTAACTCCATTCTTAAAGGGCCAGGGTAACAGGAACCCAGCTGGGGTTTGGAGTTGGGGTGAGGGGTCTGGCCAGTGGGCTGTGGGGCTCAGGCCTGCCCTCATCTCCGCCCCCCGGTTCCTGCCCGCTCCTTACCTGCCATGACTCTGCAGATGTTCACACACCCTCCTCCAAAGGCAGATCTCTTTCCCCAGTGTCAAGCACCACCTCACATCAGAGCCCGGGGCCACCATGGGGTCTGAGGGACAGGAGGGAAAATGAATCTTAAGACTTCGTAATAACATAGGAAGGGCCCAGTCTTAAAAGTTCAGTGGAAAACAGGGCACAAAATTGATCTCCTCTATTTTGAAAAAGACAACGGAAAAAATTTTTGGAAGAAAACGTCCTGAAATGTGGGCCGCAGTTGTCTCTGAGTGATTTTATTAAGGGTTGTTACCTTCTTTAGACTCCTCTACTTCTCACACAAAATTTCTATCATAGTAGAAAATGTCTGTTTCTATAATATATGTATAAATGTATGCTATTTTTATAGGCAGAGAAAATACACTTTTTTAAAAATCTTCCCAAATCATTCAAAGCAATACTAAAAGCAAATTGAGCAAAATTTAAAAATTTTAATAGCTCAGCAAACATTTTAAAAATAACCCTCCCCTTGTGAAGAAAAGAGAATCCACCTACACTGTTGGTGGGAATGTAAATTGGTGCAGCCACTATAGAGAACAGTATGGAGATTCCTTTAAAAACCACAAATAGACATACTATATGATCCAGCAATCCCACTCCTGGGCTTATAGCCAGAAAAGATGAAAACTCTAATTCAAGAAGAGACATGCACCCCAGTGTTCACAGCAGCACTATTTACAATAGCCAAGACACGGAAGCAATCTAATCGTCCATCAACAGATGAATGGATAGAGAAGATATATATGGGGTGTGTGTGTGTGTATCTATATCTCCAGTGGAATATTACTCAGCCATAAAAAAGAATGAAACATTGCCATTTGCAGCAACACGGATGGACCTAGAGATAATCATACTAAGTGAAATAAGTCACAGAAAGACAAATATCTTATGATATCATTTATATGTGAAATCTTAAAAAAGATACAAATTAACTTATTTACAAAACAGAAATAGACTTAGAGACATAGAAAATTTCTGTTGTTTGTAAGTCTCTCAGTCTATGGTACTTTGTTACAGCAGCCTGAATTAAGACACCCTTCCTCTGACTTTTAAGTTCCTGGAAGGCAGGGGGCCCTGTCTAAAACTTCCTCCTTTCCCCCACTGATTTATTAGCTCACATGTAATCCATGTACCACTTAGGTTTCTTAATTTAAAAAAAAATTTTGTTTCTTTTTTTAATTAAAAAATAAAAGAATGTTGATTCTTCCAATCCAAGAGCACAAGATATCTTTCCATTTCTTTCTATCATCTTCAATTTCATTCATCAATATTTTACAGTTTTCAGAGTATAGGTAACTTCCTTGGTTATGTTTATTTCTAGGTATTTTGTTCCTTCTGATGCAACAGAAATGTTTAGGCCAGTTATAAAATTCTGGTTTTTGAAGTAGAAAAAAAAAGGGAATAAAGGGCTGCAAATGGCAAAATATCTTTCTTTCTTATGGGTGAGTTGTATTCCATTACATATATATGCTGCATCTTCTTTATCCATTCA